ACAAGCCCCCTCCCCGAGTGATGTGACTTGGGGGACTACCCGAGGCTTGGCGCCAGCAGCAGGGTTTGGGCAGGAAGCGGAACGACCCATCCCCAGTCCATTCTGCTCCTCCCGGCTCCGAGCTGCAACCGTTGGGGCAGCACAGTGAGCTGGGGCTGGTTTTCTCCACTTCCTGCGGCTCCCACTGCTACTGGTGAGTGCAGGGGCAGGCCCAACCCCTGCTACCAAGGCCAGACCCCCCATCATCTCCTGAGCCAGTCTGAGCCCCACGGTAGTGTTCCCTGTAAGCTGATTGGGCGGCCGCCCAGGAGAGATTCAACTGCAGCCCAGCTGATTGGCAGAGCGCCCACAGCCGGCAGCAGGAGTTTCAACTAGTGGTGCACAACTGCACATGCCTCGGTGCACAGAACAAAATTTGTTCCACACATGGATGGAAAAAATTAGAGGGAACATTGCCCCATGGGGTCCCCAAACTAGAGGGCACAGGGCAGCAGCCCCGAACTGTCCAATGGATGGAATGGCTCTCCCTACCTCCACCACACCTAATGCTTCATTTGTGCCAGGGCGTCTCAGGGCTGAACCTCTAAGTGCAGCAGTTCTAGCCCCGGTACCTCCGGGCTTGCTGCATCCGATATGAATGCAAAAAAATTTCCTGAGAACCGGCATCTCTGTTATTCCAAATTAAAGCCCTCGCCCCAACCTCCCCCCCGTACTCACTTGATTTCCAGGCTCTGCAGCCCCTCCCCCTTCTAAGGGGCGGGGCCTTGAGTCTCCCACTGGGCTCCGCCCCTTCCCAAGGCTTTCTCCCTTCCAGCCCTCCCCGGACCAGCTGGGAGGCTCTTACCAGTGGCAGCCTGCTGCCGGGGATGCTGGGGAAGTCGTGGTGCTCCACGTGGTAGCCCACGTTGAAGGTCAGCCAGTTCAAGGGGCCGTAGTAGGAGAAGGTGTCGTAGCCCTTGAGATACATGTAGTGCTCAGCGATGAAGTGTCCGGAGATGGGGTGGATCCCCATGGCCAGCAAGGAGCCGGCGACCATGTAGATGACGGGCTTGGGCCCCCACAAGGCGTAGATCAGCAGGTCGTAGGCCAGCTGCACGGCCACGTTGATCACCTCCATGCAGGTGACGGGCTTGGGGTTGACGTAGATGGGCCGCAGGATGTAGAAGAAGGGCTGCAGGAAGAGCCAGAGGAGCTTGCGGGGCGGCGAGTGGAAGAACCGGCCCTCAAAGGCCGTGGGCACATCCACATCCAGCCCGTCCCCCGCCAGGTAGCGGTGGTGGTCCACGTGGTACTTCTTGAAGGAGGTGGCGTAGGGCACCCCGATGGGCAGGTTGGCGAACATGCCGAAGAGGCGGTTCCACTTGGCCTCCTTGTTGCCGAAGGCCACGTTGTGGGAGATGTCGTGGATGGCCAGCGTCATGGAGTGGTTGAGGCAGCCGCCGAAGGCGTAGGCCCAGAAGAAAACCCACTTCCACGGCAGGTCCTGCACCAGGTAGCAGGCCACCAGCTGGGTCAGCACCATCAGGAGCACCACCCACTTCAGCTGGGAATCCGGGCCCATCAGCTGCTTGATCTCCGGGTACTTGGCTGTGGAGAGGGGACACAGAACATAAGACGGGCCATACGGAGTCAGACCAAAGGTCCATCTAACCCACCCTCCTGGCGTCAGAGCCAGGGCGGCTGCCCCAGGCCTCACGCTTCAGGGGGCCCCATGGCGACCACCTCAATCATCCTATGGGTGGCCCGAGGGATTATGAGGGGCCTGGCTGGGGGGTCCCCCCCCCCACCTCCCGGCCTCACCGTGGCAACAGGATCCGGGGTGACCTGGCAGCTTGCTCCTCTCTGCCCTGCCCTGTTGGCCTCTCTTAGACACGGCGCTTGGCTCCCTGCAGTGACACGGGTCGTGGTGGGCTGGGAGAGGGCAGCAGGGAAGTGGAGTGGAGCAGGCTGCCTGGTCACTCCAGCTCCTGCCATCGCAGTGAGTGTGGGGGAGGGGCGGGTGACCCCTGCTGCCAGTGCCAGCTGCCCCAGAGGGAGTAAACAGAACTGGGAATCATCCAGTGATCCCTCCTATGTTGCCCATTCCCAGCCTGTGACAAACAGCGGCTGGGGACCCCATCCTGACTAATAGCCATTGGTGGACCTAACCTCCATGAATGTATCTAGCTCTTTTTTGAACCCTGTTAAAGTCCTGGTCTTCATAACATCCTCTGGCAAGGAGTTCCACAGGTTGACTGCGCAATGCATGAAGAAAAACTTCCCTTTGTTTGTTTTAAACCTGCTGCCTCTTGATTTCCTTGGGTAACTCCTACCTCTCGTGTTATGGGAAGGCGTAAATAACTTTTCTTTCTTTACTTTCTTTACACCTGCTATGATTTTACACCCCACTGACCTAGCCACCACCTCTCAAGGATGTGGGCTTCCCTACGCTGGTGGGAGAACTCCCCAGTCAGTGTGGGTAGTGTCTCAGAAAGGGCAGGGCTGGGAGTCCAAGAGAGATCGCTGACAAACCCACTGGTGCTAGCCCCAGGGTTAGAGGGAGAACCCCAGGTTCCAGACCTGCCTTTAGCCAAAACAAAAAAACAGGACTATGTAGCACTTTAAAGACTAACAAGATGGTTTATTAGATGATGAGCTTTCGTGGGCCAGACCCACTTCCTCAGATCAAATAGTGGAAGAAAACTGGCATGACCATATATACCAAAGGATACAATAAAAAAAATGAACAAATATGAAAAGGACAAATCACATTTAAGAACAGAGAGGAGATAAGGGGGGGAGGTAAATGTCTGTGAGCTAATTATATTAGAGGTGATAATTGGGGAAGCTATCTTTGTAATGGGCATTTTAACACCAGACTTGAAAGAGAATCCTTTGAACTGTCATTCTTGCTTACATTTGACACTTTACACCTAGGTCTCAACAAGGATGCTAATTATCTTACCCATTACAAAGATAGCTTCCCCAATTATCACCTCTAACATCATTATCTCAGACATTTACCTCCCCTCTCATCTCCCTTCTAGTTTTTTTCTTGATTTGTCCTTTTCATATGTGTTCATTTTTTTGATTGTATCCTTTGGTATATATGGTTGTGCCAATTTCCTTCCACTATTTGATCTGAGGAAGTGGGTCTGGCCCACGAAAGCTCATCACCTAATAAACCATCTTGCTAATCTTTAAAGTGCTACACAGTCCTGTTTTTTGTTTCGGCTACATTTCTCTGCCTTTAGCCAGTCCTTGCTGGCCTTAAAGGAACAAAACCTATGAATCTTCTGAGCTTGGCCCCCGGTTTCAGAGCAACGGAGCTGGGTCCCCGAGATCCCCAAAACTGTGACCTTACCATTGGGATGGTGATGGCTCTAGGGCCCAGTGGTCTCACCTCAGGAATTCCTGACAAGTTTTACTCCCACAGAGAGTGTTGATTGTGAAGAATCAGCAAAACAAAATCCATCTAAAAATTCCCTGACCGACTGACCAATACCCCTCTCCCAAGCAAGTTGATCTCCAATAGGTGCAGCCAGAAATAGGCTGCGGATGGGCCGGGCATCTGCTCTGCTGTGGGGGTCCTGCGCTGGCCAGAAGAGATGGGATTTGGCTGTCGTGTTCCAGCAGGGCCCCAGCTAAGCCCCCAGCAAGTTCCCTTTGGTCGCATCCCAGCTCTGGCTCTCCTCCACCACAAGGGGGCGACGTGGGATGCACGTCTGGGATGGGCCGGGTTCTGGGGTTGGAAAGTTTGGAACTGGAGGGGAACTTGGAAAGGGATTTGGATCCCAAGGGAGGAACTGGCTGACTCCAGTGGAGTGACAGCTGATGACTCCAGCTGGGCCAGTAACACCAGCCTGGCAATGAACCAGCTCCATCCATTTGCATTAATAAGGTATCCCCCACCTGGGCTCAGCCAGCCAAAGCCCCGTGCTCCCCAGCAGGGAAGGGGTGGAGGGGTAGGCAGCTGGCTACAAATGCTGTTGGTGGGGCTGGGTGAATGTATTCGCCCACACGGCTCATTGACGTTAGCTGCCAGAGACAGCTCAGCAGCTGCCCCGAAGGCAGAACAGGTCCACGAGCTGCCTAGTAAATCAGGGGGTAGAGAACACAGTGGGGGTGGGGGTGCCGGAGAGATGCAGCCTAACCCCCCGGGAACAGAGAGAGGTGGAGAGCCAGCCCCTGCAGCCGGAGCCAGCCAGCTGAGCTTAGACACTGCCTCCTGCCTGGGTTTTTGGTTTGGTCCTGCATGCAGGGAAACCGAGATGTCAGTGTTCCTGGCCAGCAAACACGCTGGCATCCAAAGGGACAGGACTCCCTTGTCAATGTCCCTTGCACCTGGAACAACCCTCTGGACCCCGACCTTTGGCCTGTTTGATCAGGACAAAAGGGGGCTGGGGAGACAATGGAAACCGGTTTTCCTTCCGAGCACCTCTTTGTGGCCGGTGGTGACTCTGCAGTGTCCTGCCTCAGTTTCCCTCTCTTAAAGGGCTCTGCAATGTCCTGCCTCAGTTTCCCTCTCTTAAAGGGCTCTGCAATGCCCTGCCTCAGTTTCCCTCTCCAAAACTCCTCCCAATCTCTAGCATTTTAAAACCTCCTCCTGCTGGAGAGGGGAAGGAATCCAATATAGGGGCCTCGCTCCTTTCTGAGGATCTGGGGCTTGGTCCATAAACACACTGGCTGTGCTGCCCTCACTCAACTGAGCTCTTCCGTAGCCCAATCTCCCTGAGCCAGGAGTCCTGGCCCTCCTTCCTGAACCGTCCCTTTGCTCTCTGCACCTGCCAGCTCAGGCCAACCACTGATTCACCAGGTGCTCCTAGCTCTACCTAGCTTGAATACTAGCAGCTTGCTCCTATATCGGCCCAAGTGAATCACATGACCGTTACATCACATGACTAAATTCATATTCCCCACCTGGTGTCACAGGTGGGCCGGGGGCCTTCTCCCTGTAAAGATCCCGTAAAAACTCTGTACCATGCTGCCACGAACTGCAGCCTCTCCCAGTTGAGGGGTGACAGATGCTGAGTTAGATCCAAGGGTCGGCTTGGAAAGGGATGCCCCATCTCACGCCACCCTGCTTTTCTGGTTCCAAACCCATGGGTGTTCCTCTCGGAGCCGATCAGTGGCAGATTGGGGGCCAGAATGCAGCTGGGGGGAAAAGCAATGGGCCGGCAAGTCAGGCCTGAGGTAGCGAAACCAAAGCCAACGGAAGCAAGAGGGGAATTTGCAGAATGTGGACCTGCCACCACCCTGGGGGTAGCTGGATGTGGAATGTGCTGAGCTGGGCGGGTGTTGGAGCGGTGACTTGGCCCCAGGCTGGGGAGCTCCGCTGCTGCCTGCCAGCCAGCCAGCAGGGGGTACACTTTCCATGGCACTAGCCCTGCTTGCTAAAAGCACCAGGTTAGCACAGGCTGGGTATTGTCATGCTCCACCCCAGAAACAGCTGCCTTTTAAGGAGGCTGGTGGGTAGAGCTGCTAGATCTGTCGGGAGCGGGGGGGCAGATGGTGTTTGACGGAGACTCAGCAGGACACAGATAGCCCTGGAACCCATCTTTTAACACACACACAGACACACAAACACACACACACAGCTCTTTAAAAAGGCCTCAGAAGAGGGCGCCAATATTTAGCAAAGTCAGATTGGGACACACATGGCGCAAGGCTCTCCCGAGCCACCTAGCGTTGCTGCTCACCTGAGCCCCATGCCCCTCGGACCTGACCATCCGAGCCCCGCCCGCACCTTGTGCTGCCCCTCCCCCCCCGGCTTTCCCAGCATTCCGACATGGGTGCAAACCACTTTGGGGCAAACTGGACATTTGTCCCATCGACTTGTGCCACATGATCAGAGCAACTTGTCACTGGTAATAGAGCCAATGGGGGACACGCCCGGTTTTGCCAAAAGAGGATGTCTGGGACTAGGTTGAAAGGGGGGCTGTCCAGGCCAAAGTGGGATAGATGGTCGCCCCACTTCAGACCCCAACAGCATCTACTGCTCGCGACAGGACAAGGGGGGGGGGGTGAAGATTCCCTGTTGTTCTC